GAAGTCCCTCTTTAGTAATGCCATCAAGGTTTGAGCAGAAAGTTTCTTTAACTCGACAGGTCTGACCTTTTCGCCTTCCACATTTTCAAACCCATGGGATTTACAGTCATTGGACCAAAAAAAAAAAAAAAATTCCATGAAGAGTGTTTCAAGGGTCTTCAATAAAATATCTGAGCTGTCAAGTCTGTGAGAACCCGTGTGTTGTGGCATCTGCATACTAAAAGACTTGGAGAGGGGTTTTCTATCTAATTAGCCAATCACCACAGAAGTCTGTGAAAGAGGCTCTTTCATGAGACCACGGTTAATACAGCACACATCCCATCTACTGGGATGCTACAACGGCCATGACCTCAATCGTATACGATATGTTTACTATTGTGGCTAAACAATCGTGCCACATTTTTTGGACATTTTTGAATATCCGAGTGTCAAAAAGTGATGATGCAGGACTTGACAATGCTAATTTTTGAAGTCACTTACTGGTCTGGCAATGAGCACCCTCAAAGCCTGCCCTGCAGTTGCAGATGTACTCGTTGAAAACATCTCCCCTTCTGGTGGGAGCAATTACCTGGCAAGAGGCATCATTCTTACAGGGGTTGGGACTGCAAGGTCCTGAGTGAAACAAGGCGGAGAACGTCAAGTGCTGCTGTCATTCGTACCGAAATGATGGCTCGATTGTCTTACCTGTCTCTGTGAGGTTGCATGTGTCCCCAGCAAATCCATCTGCACAGATGCAGATGAAAGGTTCCTCTCCTACTCCCGTCACGCACGTTGCTCCATTATGGCAATTATTCACCTCGCAGTAGTCACCTTGGAAATTTAATAGGAAAAAAAAAGGGGTTGAAATGAATGATAATTACATGTGGATCAATTTTAATCTCATTTGAAGGGTTTATCTGATGTGCAACTGTAGCTCGGCTTTTATTGAGTGACTGATTAGTTTTTTTTCCTTCTTCACACTAAAAGATGCTTCGTTGTTTTCCGAACCCACTCACTGAGTAGCTATGGATTTTGAGCAGATTGCATGACTTTTACCCAATGTTGGTTTTGACCCAGTAGATTAGGAAGGGCAGCCGGTGTAAAACCTGTGCTAAACATGTCACGCTGAGGCGACTGTCAGTGGAAAACTGCTTTTTCTTAGAAAATATTGGCCATCAAGTTAGTATTCTTGGTTTATTTGGTTTTAACCCCTTGTTGGATCAAAATATTGACCCCAGCACTAGGTTAGCTATTTCACCCAATTTGGGTTACTTTGGACGCAGCAGTTTTACGAGTGCTGCTGTAGTGATAGTGTGAGGGCTCTCGCTGTTTCCGGATTTAAACCATAGCTAATATGAATATTCTCTGCAATTGGCAAAAGAAAATGTAGGACATAAACTGAGAAATGAAATAAATGACACATTTTGCAAAAAAACATGACAAATTATCACTTATTTTTGATCTCTCAAAATGATGAATAATCTATGTATAGCGTTACAACATTCAAAAGTATGTAACAGGGAAGACTGAAAATTTGGAATATATTTTAAGTGTTGTTTTGGAGTGGAAAACAGAGGGCTAGAAAACTAAGTCATACTTCTTGGACGGCTCCCGCAACTCAGGCAGAAAGGCGCAGTGGGAGTGGCAGAGCACAGATTTATGAGTCATAATCTGGGTGTTTGTTTACTCTTATGATGCTATTCAGGGTTGCTATTCATCCCCTCAGCAGCATTTGGCATCTTTGACATCAACATGTTGCAGGGGTGAATGAGTTTGACATCCATTTGTAAAGTGAATCCGCATGGCATGGAGAGATTGAAAATATGTTGGTACCGTCCATCATTGTTTGGTTTATGTCTGGGCCTCCTTGGAGACACTATTTAGTATACCAAGAGTTTGCCTGGTTTTGTAAACTACCCTCTGCATTATTTCCCATTATTTAACTCACAGCTCCAGTATAAAGAGCTCAGGCCTGGAGCTTGCAGTTTGGCAAAGAGGCGCTTGAGATGCAACACATGTTCTGACCTAGCCCCTTTTCAAACTGTGGTTTGTGCACCACACAAGTGACAATAAGTTTTCCTATTTCCTATCCCTTGTTAAATTAGTTTTGCGATAGAGAACAACATTACAACACGGTATCAGATTTTTGTTTCAAAACAAAGCAGAGAGTAGTGGAGACTCTACAACTACAAGCTGTAGAAACAGTTTGTCAAGCAACTTTTGTTTTTTTTGTTTTTAAATGAACATGGACATTACCATTTTAGTCTGACAACACTGACAACAAAACGTGTCTGTGTGTGGCTGGGATTAAGAGATTGTAGGATTAGCCAGGTGGAAGAGAAGCATGCCGCTCTTGGTCTGCCGGGAATGAGGAGTTATACAACATGACAGTGCACCGGGAAAACGCTGGGGATGCTTGCTGCCAATGACGTACCACACAGACTGACAGGTGATCTGCGAGTGCCACTAAGTGTGGGATGTACATACGTCATGACAGTAGACGAGCACCAGCCAATGGCACTTTGAACAGCCCAGACATGTTTAGTTACTATTTTAGGCAGACGATGCGTGTACAGGTGCAGGAAGTTGGCAGGACATTTCCAAGTTGATCTTAGGTTAGATGAACAGACAGCTGCTTTGTGTTGAATCCTGACAGCAGCACATATGGCGCTATTTTTTTCCCACCTGTACCACTTCATACTGTTTCACCTCAAGAATATTGACTGATACAAATGAAAGAATGTTGTAAATAATATATAAACATGACCACAATTGTACATACGTACAGAATGCCTCCAAGTAAACTTCAAAAGAAGTCTCATAATTATATCTCAATTTACTAGAATAAAAAAAAAAACACTGCCCTGCACCAGTTTTTCTCCAAACACACTCCTTACAGGAAATATACTTTGTACAATCGCTCGCATTTTCAGGAAGGTTACAATAACAGTCTTGCAAGTAGCCTAATGACACCTTGTTCACAACTGCAGTCACTCTGGAATTATAAAATATTATATGTTGTCCTTCAAAAGTGGGAATGCATTTCCCGAGAACAGGTGAAGCTCGTAAATAATTGGTTTAGGAATATCGAAAGAGAATTATGCACGTACAGGACCAACCCCATCATTTCATTATTCAAGTTTCATACTTTCAAAATCCTACTAGTCAACTTTGACTCAAAGGACAGTGCCATAAAACAACAAAAGGCCAATGAACTGCTTTCATTATTTCACAGAAGGAATGTCAACAACAAAAAAAAAAGTTGTGTTGCATGGTTCAGATTCCCAAATTCGTGAAGAGTACCGATAAACTAACTTCAATCACTGCAACATTTTGAATTTACAGTCGTCACCAAATCAGCCCATTACATGTAAAGCGAGTCAAATAAACTTACCTATGACCGGCGACAGGCAAAGAAGAAGCGTAATCGCTGTCAAGTTTACTTCGCTTGCTTTTCTGGAAGCTGTCATATTTGTTTACTCTTTATTCAACCAAGGTAGTTCGGGCTGCAGCAGAAATACTGGTTGTAGCTACATTCAAGGGCACTGAGAAAAGTAGGAATTGTGTCGCAAGCAGCGAGGGGAGGACCCAGCGGTAAAACCCAATGTGAAATGACGTCATAGAGGGGGTGGAGACTTTTGCTTCCGAACTGAACAGCGATACGGAATTACGGTCGAACTAAAAGTAATCATTTATAAAGGAACCATTATCACCCAATGTACCTCTTAAAATATATATTTTATATTGAACACTCTGTCCTGCAAAACATGAAATCAAACCGTTTTTGACTGAATTAAATATGGTATTGGTAACACGTCTTCATCATTAAAATTCAGTATCATCCCCCTCGTTCCCTGCCACTTCGAAGCAAATTACTAGCACTTTTGTTTTTATAGATATGCAGTTAAAGCAGAATAAAATGTTGACAAGATGGGACGCTCGAGTAAGCAATTGTTTGGCAAACTCTGTCCCCCTCAAGTGGCCATTCTGTGCAACAACGTCATCTCAACATTGGACCTGATCATACAGGCCGTGTCCACATCCTGGCTGACACTGGGTGAGAAGTGGTTTACAGTGTACACTCTGACTGGTCGCCAAGAAGTGGTGTACATTGTACACCCTGACTGGTCACCAGCAAATTATGTTGCAGACAACCATTCACCCTCGTACTCACAGTCACAATAATGTAGACCAGTGCTTACCAACATTTTTGAAACTGAAAGCTGCTTCCTGGGCTCTCATGTGAAGGTCCACCAGTTTCCTATATATTTCTGAAATTAAACATTTTCTCAAATTTTTTTTGTTATTTTATTATTAATAATTAATTACATTTACAGTATATATGTGAAAACACATTTCTCACAGTAATCAATGATTTTCCAAGATAGGAAACAGATAAATATCAAAACTTGATCATGCATTTCTTTAGAAATAATCTGCAAGTGTTTACGTTTTCAAATAATAATTCCCAGAACATTCCCTAGGAAGTCACAATGTCCCAATGATCCCGACTGATGTATTCCTTGGTAGGTTTTACACAATCAGGATTTTGGAGCCGATCACCGATCAGCGAGTTAAAAAAACAACATGATAACCGATCAATATTCAATGTCAACCTGTGGATCCAATCAATGATGTCATTGACCATTGCAAATAATGACATCACAACCGATCACCGATTTTGTAGAAAATGCAAAATATCTGCTGATCCCTTCCAGCCGATCAGACCTGTGTAAAATATAGCCCACTGTAATCTACTTCAATCACTAGAAAGAATGGAAATATGTTTTATAAACTCTTAAAGGTCCGAGCAGATAGACTTGGTAATGCTGTGCATGCTGGGATAGAGTACATTATAGATGCGATCGGACAATATTAACGACTCTATGTTAATTCGATAAAACACCATTCGGATAAGGTGCTTCTGACAGACTGCTCTGCAAGACGATAAAGATATCAAGATATGAGTCAGTGTTTTGTGACGTCAAATAATTATCAACCAATGAAAGCGCCCGTATGCAAATGACAGAATCTTCTCGGAAGCGGAATCGAGCTGTCAGTGTGGCGGCTGCAACTGTAAAGTAGTCTGTGCGTTTTGTATTGTCTCCGCTTCCAATGCAACGGCGTTACACAGCAAACACTTATGACATAATACGAACCCAACAAACAAGTGTACTGTAACTAAGGTTGGGACATTTGGAGGCGGTCAGCGGCAGATTCTTTCCCTCGACTGTGGTAAGTAAGCTATGCTAAAGATGCTCTACTGCGACGGGTGGTCTAGTCTTCCCTCGTTGTACGTATATAACATCATTTAACGTTTGAGCCCGGCAATAGTGTAAAGCGAGAATAGCCTACACTAAATTAAATACTATGTAGGGATTTACTCGATGTCAAACAAAAACTGCAGCGATCCGCGTGGCCCGAATCTTTAAAAAAAACAAAAAACGATTGCTTCTCATTTTCTCGCACAGTGGAGCCAGCGAAATGCAAATGGTGGGATGTTGATATTTTATACGAGCACCAGACATATATGAACTGGGATTTTTTTTTCCAACCTCAAATGTTTCCTTTTCGCTTTCCCATTATGCAGTGATGTCAGTACTATAAAGCCCAGTGTGTGTCTTGTTAGTGAGCGCCGCTGTGCCAGCAAGTCGTGATCAAGAACGCTAGCAGAGGCAACAGTAATAGCAGACTCCCTTGTCAAAACACAACGTTCATTTACTGACCAAGTGTCATCCAAAATGAAAGTCATTTTCTTGTGGCAATTCTGCAGACAGCGCTGTCAGTGTCTTTGTTTACGTGGTTTGATGTTTGAATGCGGAAATTGGACGAGTTTATTAAACGTGGGTGGGGATTCAGACGCTCCAACTTGTTCTCTGTCTGGGAAAACAACTGCGTAGCTGTCATCGATTTCATGTATTTGCGAGTCATAATTTGATGTCAGTTGCGGTGAAAAATGAAGGTCTCATTTCTAATTGTGATGCAGTCATCTGCAGTATATTGAGCTATGGCATTCAGATCAGACTTCATGTTAATCAAAACTAAGGGATTATTATCTATTTATTGATATAATTGACGGTTAGAACCATTTACACGATTACATTTTATGTTGGTAAGGACCAAGCTTCTTATGTTATGTCGCTTATCTTACTAAACATGTTTTTCTTTTAATTTACTAACGTATTTATTATTTTATTAATCTGTCTTGTTACTTTGCTCTTTAGGACTGACGACATCACTGTGACTTTACCCATCATATTTTCCCAGTTTTAGAAAGAATTCTTTATTGTAGCCACCACAGAAACAAGTGAGTAAACTTTTTTTTTTTTTATGTAGACAGGTGAAAAAATGCAAGTGTTTTCAGTGCCTTTCCATTGCACAACACTTGTTGTTGATGCAAAATGTACATTAAGCTCATATCTCACTGAGCTGTGAACAATTATGAGAACGAGTGTTTTCGAAGGTAAAGAATGTTGCGTTCTCGTCAAAGTTCGTTCATCGTCAATACAATGCATTTTTAGTTCATGTTTGTCAAACGTTTGCCAGACATTCACCTGCGCATTTGTTGTCGAAATTCCTGCGACCAGAAAAAACACTAAAACTGTCGGCGAACAGCTGGCGACCGTTTGTCGAACATATGCGACCTTGAAAAACAGCCCTAACGAAAATGCAACATTCAAAAACACTCGCATTTGTTTGCAGCTCAGTGAGATGGCTTTAAACCTGTATCTCACTGAGCTGCAACGGTTTTGGAAGTGTGTTTGCATGTAGGAAAAACTGTTTTTCTTGTCGCCGTCAAATTTTGAACATGTTGAAAAGTTCTTTGCAACAAGAAGATAAACGTATGAGAGCTGGCGAACGACTTTGCGATTGTTTGCGACCTTGAAGGAACCCTGACAAAAAAACAGCATTCTCTTTGTGCCCACACACTTGGTGAGCCTTTCAACCCGTATCTCACTAAGCTGCACAACAAGACAAAGTTTCAAAAACACAAACCTATCTAGAATGGGTCCTTAATTAGCGTCATTGCTAAAGCCTGTATCTTCCCTTCCATTTACGGTACTGTAAACATTGCGTAAGGCTTTTGCTCAACGCTGTGTGAACTCATGCACTGTACCTCCCCTTTAGTATGCGAGTGACAAATAGTCTGGCTTTTCTGTGCACTGTGCAGCTCCTGTTTTTGTGCTAATGTCAAAGTCAATCATGATCTTCCATGTTTTCCCAAATCATTATCATCTCTGATTGCTTCATGAAAATGTATTTCTTGATTTTTAACGATAAACCTTTTTGAAAAAACAAAAAACAATTTCTAGAGCAATCATGAGCGCGCATGATTCAGACGTGCACACCATCTCTCCGGAGCTGCCGGCGATGTTTGATGGCATGAAGTTGGCGGCGGTGGCGACGGTCCTCTACGTCATCGTACGCTGCCTAAACCTCAAGAGCACCACCGCTCCCCCAGACCTCACCTATCAAGACACACCCCTCAACCACTTCCTGCTCAAGTCCTGTTCTCAGCTGACCAAAGAGTGAGTTTTCTATCATTGATGTTGTTGCCATGGAAATGAAGATGCTGGCCTGCCAATCGGGACTGTAACGAATGTAGCGCTCTGTGTAGTGATGATCCCATCTGTCGTCAATTGTCCTTTGTGTGCCACGCACGTCTGTCAGGCTTTGTCGTGGAGCATGATTCAAACCAGGCTATATTGTAGAATTCATTGCACATGCGCTACAAATGCCAAGAAAAGGCAAAGAGCATTTATATATGTTGAAAATAGGTGCGTACTCTTGAGGTTGTTGTTGACAAAGCGCTCAACTTCACACCGGTATTCGTGAAAAGCATTTTTTTTTAAAAACTAAATCAGAACTTTTGAGAGCGAACATTGTCCTCTAGTGTATTGTTCAAGAGGAAACCTGAGATCTTTAGCGGGACTCTTGAAGAGTTAACCACAGGGGTCTGCTTATGCAACCAGGTCTTCTGGAGCCCTTCGCCTTTCACTGTACTGAATGTTCATCAGACTTAATTTAAGTGAGTACAGTTAGATAGTTGTCGTTCAACTTCGCCTCATCCGTTTTGTGTTTGTTTTTTTGAACAAGTCGCATTTGTTACCCCCAATGACGCCGTGTTATTTTCTGCAAGGGTCAACAGCACCATGAGTGCTTGTGTTTGGGGACGTGCACACAATTGTTGTCCAATCAACAAATAATGTCAAGTGTGCCTTGATGCCATGTGTTCGTTTAGCTGTTCGTGATATGAAGCTTGTTTTGTTACGGGAGTCACAACGCCACTCTAAACTAATGTCTGTCTACTAATACCCATTATAACAACGCGATGATCCACCTCTTGTATTGGATTAAAGCTGCTGTGCCCCTTCCAGAAACGTGCTGTGAAGCTCCACTTCTGCTTAGAACAAAGGGCGGAGGTGCTCACATTACCACATTGAAGTCGCTGCCTGTGCTCTTATGTAACTCTTATTTTCAAGGTGCAGTAAATGTTGAAGCCAGAGATGAGAAAACACAGGGACAAGGTTAAAGGGCTTGTGTAACGTGTGACGTCACTCTGAACTGTATGCACGGAAACGAGTCCGCTTGAAGCGAGGCAGAACATGTAATCGCTGTGTCATGAGTGTTTAATGGCCTTCGCTGTAATCTAAGAAAACATGGCTAATATGTCACTTGTATCGTATTGTGCTGGTCATTATGTTTCCACCTAAAACCCGAACCAGCCTACAAGATTTGTGTCAACTTGTGTGGTAATATGATCGTTACGGTCGACTTTTTGTGATATCGAACCGCGGTAACATTATCGTAGGGATATGCAGCAGTCTCGGCAGCGTATGGCGTCACTCAAGATTTCAGGTTGTCAAAGGTGTCTAAAGTGAAATGGAATGCAAGCACGCCCTTTGAGGAACTTGCAACAACGAGCTGTGTCAACACTGTTAAATAGTGATGACGCTTCACTTGCCGTTGTGTAATCTTTCGAGGGCCGCGCCAAAAAGGTTACTGTATGGCCTTGTATGCAAATGATGAAGCCAAAGGTTTGCGTTTCATAAACCAGCAATGCAAATCAGTGTCCTTTATATGTACTGTTACTTCTACTCCAACTCAGCCTCATGTGCTTCCCTAGAATGGTTCAAAACTCATTTCTGATTTGAAAGGAACCGGTTGATGAAATGTTTGCTACACAGGTACATTCCGCCATTACTGTGGGGCAAGAGCGGTCACCTCCAGACCGCCCTGTATGGGAAACTCGGTCGGGTCAGCGCACCTCACCCTAGTGGGATCAGGAAGTACTTGCCCATGCCGGATGGAGCCACTGCGACCTTTGACCTCTTCGAACCAGTGGGGGACCATCGAACAGGAGGTGATGCAACACACAGATATGCAGATGAAAAGCACATGGGCAAAATGGCTTCATGAGATATTTTATGACTATTTGTGTAGGTTTCGATATAGAAAGGGAACACATGTTTTTATCGCCCTATTTTAAAATTTAAGACCATACTTTAATTCATGAAGGGATATTGCCCAAAACATATTTTTTTCCATTGCCCAATTTTTTCCAGTCCGAAATGTTTTCCTTCCAAATTAAGGCTGCTGGTGGTAGCATTATGCTGTGGGGTTGCATTTCTTCAGCTGGAACTGTGTCTTTTGTCAAGTCAACGATCCCACTTGCACTTACAGTGCCACATTTGTTCCCATATCCCTCCTGCTGTCTGGCCGAAAGCCTAAATTGATGAGGATTTGCATCTTTCACGTTCAAAATGCCTCCACGCATACATCTACCTGACAAAAATAATAGTTTTCACCGTGACAAAATTCAAGTTGTATGGTGGCCTGGACAGAGCCCAGGCCTAAAACCAGTCGGAAATCTGTAGAGTGACCAGAAGGGGCAGTAATTGCCATGTCAAAATTTGCAATGCTGTAACCAAAAGTGCCCCCGGCCCACACACACACACACACACACACACACACACACACACACACACACACAAAGAATACATTTTGAAATTATCATAATGTATTATTTTTAGATTAAAAAATGTTTGTTTTCCTGAAGTAGGTTCACTTTTTTTCTGTTCCTCGGGAGTAAAATCCTTTGGAACATCACCTTGACTTGTTTTTATTTGGTGTAAAGCAGTACCATTATCCATAATCTCTCACTGATGAAATACCTCGGCTTGTTTGACCAGATGATATCACCATGGTGATATGCCCTGGTATCGGTAACCACAGCGAGAAGCATTATATCCGAACCTTTGTGGATTACGCCCAGAAGGACGGCTACCGCTGTGCTGTGCTGAACCACCTCGGAGCGCTACCCAACATCGAGCTCACATCGCCACGCATGTTTACTTACGGTAACTCATCAAGTGTTTATCTCGAGCCAGACAAATGCATTTTGTCGTGTATTGATCTGTAACTCAGTCAACCGATCCTCACAGGGTGCACGTGGGAGTTTGCCGCCATGGTTGGGTACATCAAGCGGGCGTATGCTCAGACCCAGTTGATAGTGGTGGGCTTCAGTCTGGGTGGAAACATAGTCTGCAAGTTTCTGGGGGAAAACATGTCCAACCAGGAGCGAGTGCTGTGCTGTGTCAGCGTCTGTCAAGGTTACAGTGCTCTCAGGTGGGTGGATGTCTCATCGCTTAATCTCACTCATTGTATGATAACACAGTCGTCTCATTTTTTTATGGTGTATGTAACGCCTTCCATTTTTTCCCCTGCATTTCTTATCATTTGCTGCAACCGCCGTATAGATGTTGGAAAGTAGAAGTGTTGATGTGCACGGCGCTGTAACCTAAACTGGCAATCTGACCTGTTCATAAACACTTTTGATAGCGACACGCTGGTGAGATATTACGAGGGACAGCTGCTGTCGAACCTCCATGCACGTGCCAGCAACTCCTAGCAAACAGAAAAGACCCCAAGTTCAGATATAAGCAGCACAAGTTCTTTCCTTGTGTGAAGCGACATTCACGACTCTTTTTTTTTTTTCTCGAAAGTTGAAGTTATTGCCTCTGTTCCCAAGTCATTTGGATTTAATTCTTAGTTTTGGGGCGTCAACGTCTCGGCCAATTTGCTGTTGGTTATTGCCTGACGCTGTCTTTCCTCTTCGTCGGCATGACTCTTTGTCCAAGGGATTACGTCTGATATGGCGTCGTTAGGAATGCTGAGTAGCACGGTGAGCACTAAGCTGACTTCCTGTCTGTTTGTCTCTCAGGGCCCAGGAAACATTCCTGCAGTGGGATCAGTTCAGGCGCTTCTATAATTTTCTCATGGCTGACAACATGAAGAAAATAATCCTCTCACACAGGTAACGCCTCTGGACCGAAGTTTAGCGGCTTTCACTGTGATACCTTAATGGTGGTTTAATTTGGACAAGAAAAATGATAATAAACCATCAGGCACAAGCAGTTTATTATGTTTTTCTTCTCTCTCTTTGTTTTTATTCTTGTATGTCCTCATAGAGTCATCGGATTTCAAATGCACCATTTAAACTCTTTTTCTTTGCTACTGAACGTTTTACTAGGAATAGATGTTTATTGTTCAAAAAGTTACAAAACGCTAACTGTTGTGCATTCACATGCTCCCTCTCCTTTTTTTGCACACTCCAGGCACAGCCTATTTGTGGGGAACTCTGTTAAAATGATAGCCGGCGATCTTGGTCGGCTATACACAGCAACGTCTCTCATGCAGATCGATGACAACATCATGAGGTACATGAGAGAATGAAATGGTACAAATGACGTATGACGTGGATGTCATTATTATCACACATCATGATATAATATGACAATACAAAGAATTTTCCTGCATTGTACGATAGGGACACAATTGTATTTCATTATTACAATATTCACCCCAATAAAGTACTTCTTTTCCTTAAATTAAATGACATGAGATTTTTTTTTCTCCATTAAAACACATTTCATGTAGAACAATAATTATATGAATGAATGAAATCACAAATATGCAGTGGGAAAAAATGATATTCAAAATATCTGGTTTTCAAGGAATATATTGTTTACATTGTAATACATTCTAATAGAATGTCGTTTACATCCATGCTCCTCACGCAGCACCGTTAACAAGTACTCGCAGGTGATGGAAACCTTCGCTCATTGTTCAGCAGTCGTGTGACTGCTGGATTGAGCATGAATAGAATTGTGTTGCAGCTGGGATTCGCACATCGTATTACGAACGTCCTAAACTGCTTCTCCGTTCTCCTCTTTTTCCCCTAAAAAAATTCTTCAAATGAATCAGTTGTGTTTTTCATGTCTTTCAACAGGAAATTCCACGGCCACAGCTCTCTCAAAGAGTATTATGAGAAAGAAAGCTGTGTACATTACATTCACAATGTAAGGCAACTGGGTATAACGTCACACAAATTCATAGTTTCTGTGGTGTTTGTCTGATAGACTGTTATTGTAATTTTGTAGGTAAATGTACCACTGCTGCTTGTGAACGCTGCAGATGATCCTCTGGTTCATGATTCTCTGCTCAAAATCCCCCGCACATTAGCAGGTAAGCAGTAATTTGTCATGACAACCTCCTCAGTGACACAGCAACATGTTTAAACTCCGCTTCCAAAGATTATAATTGGTTTGCTTTCGATCAGTGTTCATTTCAAATCCAAAACCTCAATCGAGCAAAGATGTATTGCTGGCAGACCAAATCTCAGAATTGTGTTTTTTTGTGGCCTAAGCACTTCAATTTGAAGTTTTCACATGCTTCTTGGTAAGCTGCGGACACATCTTGATGAGCTCTCAGGAAGAATGTTGTCAAGCTAGACAACTTGACTAGGTTCTGATGGACTACTTATGTCAGCGCTATTTGAGACTAGTAAGAAAAATCTGAAAGTGGAACCTGAACTGCCAATTCCAATTGAATGCCTCTACTCAATTTCTCTTGGCGTAACATTTTAAGCGACATATCCGGTATGGCTGTGTTCACAGAACACAACCTGCATGCCTATACGCCTAAATTGCATGAAAACAACTCCATAAGTGTCAACACGAGGCAGTGAAAACACAGTAGGAAAAAAACAATACATAAACAACACAAATATGCAAATGTTGATCCGAGGTTCCTGTTGTTTTTT